TTGCGTTCCTTTTGCTTAATTTCCTTTTTTCAGTTTCAGCAAAAAAATCAAAACCCAAAAGTCCGAAAAAAAAACCCAAACCAAAAAAAACCAAAAAACCCAAACCCAATGTCCGTCCTGTGCTCCCCTCCCCCTCTCTACCTTCCCCCCGGTCGACATTTTTGAGAGGTGAGTGTCCGGCACTACCACCTTCACTTTTGGGGGGCTCGGCTCCACCTATCGCACCTCTGTTCCCGAGTAAGATGAATAATACTTCGATAACAGAACTGAAAACAGGGTGATGAGGATATCCTGTGGGAAGTGTTTCATAGAGCAATCTTTTTGAAGAAAGAAGTTTTTGTTTAGACGTTGATCAGACGTTATGTCAATTGATAAATTCTCTTGCATTCATTGATTCTTTTCAATATTTTAACGCTAAAAAGCTGGGGATTCTGATTACCTTGTCGAAAGCACAGATAATACTGTAATGATGTATGGGCAGTATGAATGACATTTCAATGTTCTGAGAGCTGCCATCGCATCAATAGCATCCCGATGCAAGGGGCGTTGTGATTTTCCTTTGGCATTCATAAACATACAAAGCATTCTTTACATCAAGTCCAGAAATCCACTATTAGTTCGGAATTTTCGAATTGTTTTGAAATTGGTACTTATTTCTAAGTAAATCTATTAGTTCATTCGAAAGTAATTTCGCTTTTTTTAAAGAGGCGCCACTTTTGATAGAATGGATTTATGAGAGACTAGCTGGCAAACCCGGCTCCGCCCGGCCCTGTCAATATATTCGTAATCAGCATGCTCACTTACCCCCCTGTGCCAACTCCCAGCCCCGTAGCACGAAGTTCTTGAAAAATCAATAAAATCGATATCGATCGATGACGAAAAGTAGCCTATGACACCCGCCCGGTACCGAAGTATATGTTTGCAAAGTTTGGTCCGGATCGGTTCAGAAATGGAATTTTCTATTCGGAACATACGTACACACACACACACACAGACAGAAAGACATACAAACAGACATTCAGCTTTATATATAAGATCTCGTAGCATTCAATGCAGCATTTCATCCTCTTTCTAATGGTTATAATGACATTGCAGCATAGAATGAGCCCAAGAGAAATTACCAAAATCTGCGACCCATGTATTTTGGGAGAATCAACACAATTTTTGATAGAGCAAACCTTGCAGGATACAGTACAGCTGTTTCTCTCTTACCTTTCCACAATTTTTTGAATGTTTTTTTTACTACAACAATCGGTTTTTCGCAAGTCTATTTCAGCCGCAGTATGATCTAACATAATGTTTACAAAGCAAATGAAAGAGCACGGATTTGAGATATCAAATTTCGAGTTTTTCGGGTACAAGCTGAGGGACCTTCAAAAACATGAATTGTGATAATTTCATCCCCGAAAGCTTCGCGAAGCAGATACAAAAACGCCCACTATAAAGAGGAATAAGGCTGCTTGATTAGCGCCGCTGCTCTCCCTTTGATGGTCTAGAGGTTTTGGTTGACCAGGTATGGAAAATGGTAGCATCAATTGAAGTTCTATAAAAAATTTATGACGAGCTATGGAAGGGAAAATGTTTTTGTATCCTGTAGGGTATGCTGCTTACTTGGCCTCCTTCAAGGGTTGATATAAAAATCTAGAAAAACTGTGAAATTTGAGCATCTCAAAAGCGTAAATCGTGGATTTTGGTAATTTTCCAAGAGCTTATTGACTATGCTGCGATCATTCTTTGAATGTTAGAAAGAGGAAAAATACTGCATCGAATGCTACCAAGGTCTTTGTGAATCTATGTCCTATCAAATGTGGCTCCCCTTTGGAAAAGGCGAAATCACTTTCGGAATTACCTAATATATGCACAGTATACTTCAGGTTCGAAATTTTTTTCATCGAATGAATGAGTATGAAATAAATTTGAAATTTTAAAAATACCGAATAAACGAATATTGACTAGATTCGAGGTTTGAAAATTTCGAACAAGCGGGTACGGAATAAAATTCGAAAACCAAGAATTTCGCATGAATGAATATCGATATTATCCGAACATTGGAAGTGGAATTCCGAATAAATATGCCAATAAATTTTCAAATATCCAGGTTGACACATCTAAAACTTGCTGGTGTTCCGCTCGATTAACATGGCTTTGCATCAAACTCGAATTTTTCAAGTATGAATTTTAGTCTATATGAAATCGAATTAAACATTCAAATAATATTCGTTTAAAACCTCGACATTCAATGACTCAAATTTTCGAGTTTGATTCAAAACCCCTTTTTCGAATTATTTGAATTTTCCAACTCTATTCGGTACCCCGTTTTTTTTTTGCTCAAGTATTCAAACTTTGTTCGAAAATTTAAAATTGAAAGACTTTATATTAAATCATTCCGAAAGTAATTTCGCTTTGTTCAAACGGACCACATGTGATGGAACAAATATTTCTAAAAGATCTTGGTAGCATTCGATGCAGCATTTCATTCTCTTTTCAACAGTTGTGAAATCTTTGCAGCTCAGTCATTGAGCTTTAGGAAAATAACCAAAATCTAGGGCCCATGCTTTTTGAGATGCTCAAGTTTCACAATTTTTTAAAATCTTTACATCAACCCTAGAAGGGAGTGTAAGAGACGATTCGTTAGAGCAAACCTCATAGGATATGTCGTAGCTTTCTTCTCTTTTTTATATCTTGACATAACTTTTTAAAAGATTTATTACTGAAACCACCGAATTTTGACAGTCCTACTTCAGCCACATTCACATCAAACACCAATAAATTTTCGGAATTTGAAACTTTCAAGATGGTATTAGGATTTAACAGTAATTTTGCAAAGGAATGAGAGTTTACGGGATAGAAATATCCAATTTCGATTCTACCGGTCACAGCCCGAAACGCGTTCTAAAATATGAATTATGATGATTTTATACGCCAAAATTCCGCAAAGGAGAAAAAAAAGCATCCATTAAGAAGAGGAGAACAAGCTGCATCGAATAACACTCGAGCTGCTTACCTTTTGATGTTCTACGATGTTTGAGTTGACCAAGAATGGAAACTGGTAGCATCAGCCAAAATCCTATCAAAAAGTTTTGAGGAGCTATGTGAAGGAGAAAAAAAATAGTTTTGTATACTGTAGGGTTTGTCTAACGAATCTTCACTTGCAATCCTCCGGAGGGTCGATGAACAAATTTAGAAAAATTGTGAAACTTGAGCATTTCAAAAAGCATGGATCGGAGACTTCCGTAATTTCCTAAAGTCATTGACTGTGCTGCAATAGTTTTATGAGCATTGGAAAGAGGATGAAATTCTGCATCGAATGCTACCAAGATCTCTTAAAATTATAGCTCCATCACATGTGGCGTTTGTTTGAAAAAAGGGAAATTACTTTCGGAATGACCTAATAGTTTTGAATGCGAATATAATCGAATGTTTTACACTTATTCGATTCCCGTAGAAAAAATGTACAGGTGACTGGTACGCTTAGAAAGTCAAGCTTTTGCGAGTGCAGTAGTTTTGTGCTTGTTTGGATGAAAACATGTTATACCCTTATGGAAAACATGGTTTCCTGCGGGTTTTTTGGACGTTGTTATGTGTAATGGGAGTGAGCATAAATTTTGTATAGCATATTTATAGCAAGGTGCTAGTCTTCTCATGTGCTTGTAACTTTAGAGGATTCTTGTTGTTAGAAAATTTATGCGCGGTAGTACAACATCATCTTACTAAGCAAAAAGAATAGTCTTTCTCAAACACCGAGAAGTTGTGTTGTTTCATAGCCAGAACACAATCCTAAACAACTAAACATTGGGAAAAAAGCCTTTGCCGTCTTTACCCTTTAGTAGAACGTTCGAACAAAGATTGACAAGTATTTCGTTCTACATCAGAAACCTTTTCTCTTTATAAGACATTCAGTGATTTTCAATCACCCAAATTTCCTGGTCTAGGTTGAAACTGATCTTCGAGTTTAAGACTACCCGATAGCTGCGACCTTAATTCGTTGTTTTAACTCTTGAGAAAGGTTGCAAGGCAAGCAGATAAAGTAAACCTCGTAATGATGCTAATGCGGTATCTCCAATTGCTTCTTGCAACCATTAAAAATGATTTTCAATCAACCAAATTTCATAGGTGGTCTAGCCGCATATCACACTGGGCTGTCAATCGCTTCCTCCTTCCTTTCGATGAAGTAGGTGCGCTCAAAGTGTTTGTCCATTATCATTCTATGTGACGGACATGAACTTCGAGACTTTCCGAGGCTGAAAGTATATAAAGCTGGACAATATATCGTTTATTGAATTGATAAGTCCCAGCAAAGGCTTTTCAACAAGCCACAACCTCGAAACTGCCAGTGGAGGCGGCATGCGCTTGATGCAGCTTCTCTTCATTATTGCAAGATCTTAGATTTGTCATTGAAATGTTTGAAGGTATAAAAGGATACCAAGGTTTTTACTGCATTAATGAGCTGCGTTATTTTCAACGATACCTTTATCTGCTTCTGGAAAAGACTAAGTGGCCTAGAAATGGTTCTACTCTAGCTCGTACAGTCACGAACATAATTTCAGTTTCAGTAACATGAGCTGAAGATTGATTTCTCAATATCAATTTGTTTAGTGGCTAGCTCATCTTCTATTAAAGCAAGGAATCTAAAGACTTAACCAAGCATATACGTGGCAGGGTGAAAAGTGTAACTCTTCTACAGCCATACTGTATTGTCGTCAACCATAACTAAAGGCAAATCTGTGTGCTGCGCTGGACCCACTTCTGGACATGCATCCACTGCAAGCCTACTGTGCAAGCGAAAATAAATTTCTATTTTTAGATCGTACTCGCTTCTGGAACTTGCCTAATCAAATATGTAAACCAGTAAATATGTGTGACAAATGATAGTATTTACAACATGTGCCAAGTTTCTTGGAATTTACATTTTACTATATTATTACTAGCTGTCAGAATAATTTTTGAAGCATGTTTATTCTAACATGTGAATGAAATCGGTAACGATGTATCATTAAGCTTCAAACTTGTCCTAGGCCCTGGTCTTCCGATTCCTCTCCACGAGGCGGGTGCGGGCCTTCTTCGACCATGGTAACCGGACCCGGTCCGCCTTCTTCCACTTGAGACAAATCAGGGCCTCCTTGACCTGTCGCGTTGGATTGATGACCTGATCTTTCCTCAGTAAGTGGGCAGCGTTCGGAATGTTCCCCCTTATCCAAACAGTCAGGTGAGCTCGGTTTGACTTGTCCCTCCTCGAGGGAACTGCTATGTCCATTTTCTCTCTCGGAAACAGCAGATGGAAGTTTGGGATTTTCTTGGTCGCCAAGGGAACCTTCACCTGATCTTTCGGGTGGTCCCTGCACGGAAGAACCGGGACCTGAAGCTGGTTGTCTGTGTTGTGTTGTGCTAGGCGCTGGACCCTGGATTGCTCCCTTCGTATCCTTCTCTTCCTCCTTGGCTTTTTTCTTGGGCTTTTTTTGGGGTTTCTTCTCCTCAAATTGGATGGTACATACGACATGGCTCCCTCTCCCATGGCAACCAAGTCCAAAGAATATATCTCCTTGTCTGTTCTGCTGAAATAAATCAAATTGTTTCTGTCTATTACGCTGGATTACACTATTCGAAACTAGTGACTTTTAAAAAGTTCGGTGTAACGTAGACCTTTAAACAGATCGAAATATAGCCTTCGACGCGCGTGCACTAAAATGATTGATCGTGTATTATATAGATGACCCGAACGCACAAAATGAGGGCCCGTCCACCCTAAGTTGGAGGTCCTTGGGCATACAATAGTGGGGTTCCCCTATGAATCTGATGCCCAAATCGCGGCAGAATGCTTCGGAATAGCGAAGAGGCATAAGGACCCCCCCCCTTCTAATGCCCTCCCATGCGTGCGCGCCCATCCAGTCACCGTTCCGGAAAGCAGACTTTTCAGGAATTGGGATTGTCGAGGTTTTCGCGAACTATCGACTTCATTTTCGCAATCAGGGACATGAGAAGGCCGCGGACGATCTAAACGTGGAAGAGAGAATCTGGGTCGACGGTGCCTTCAAAATTGCTTATGGCTGGCTATGGAGACGATTGGTGTTTGGCCGTGCGTCACATAATCCACGAGGTTGATAAATTACTCACATTTAATTAAGAGGATTGGCTGCTGAAGGGCGGGACTGCTTGGCGTCCGCACTTCTTTCGTGAACGTGCTTTCTGATTGCTTTCCCATTGCAAGCATGGCCAAGGCGGAGCTTCAATCACTAGAGAGCACGATCGCGAAAGAGATGCATAAATCGGCGCGGGAGAGCGAAGACACGAGCTCCACCCGCCGGCGGCCAATCCTATTGAATCGGAGTGCAAATAATCAAGCTTTCACTCATGTCCAAAAGGTGCTTGCGCGTCATCTAATAGTGCTTCCGCGCTTTCGTCATGCAGTAGCCTTTACAATGATTCGTAGGGAAGTTACCAGAAGTGTTTTCTACTTACCACCGCAAACTTCTGCAACTCATTTTTGATCTTTTCAGCCATCAGATCTAACTTCGAATCGCGTGTTCTGTATCATTGCACAACATCATCGAAGAAGTTTTTTTTGAGAACTTACCTTCCCGGCCCTGACACATCATCTTCAAAAATTCTGAAACAAGGTGCGTTCGCTATGTTCAAATTATGAATCTTAGCGCAGGAGACATTTATTAACGTAGACGAATGAGCCTAAAGCAAGGTCTGGTTTGAGTTGAGTATTGATATTGATTGTCAGCGAGTTTCCGGTCTCAAAACCGAAACCTGAAAGATTAAGGTTCCGTGATGCTAGCTTCACATGGGTTCCACTTCTACCCGTGCTTGCTTATTAGTAAAAGAAATCGAATGAAAACGCCAGTGGTTCAATGAATTCATCGCATTTATGTTTCTTGGAAGAGTGGCCATTAATCAAGTCAAATTATGTTTTTTTTGTATAAACTTAAGTTATAGCATGTACATCAGACCAACCGCTTTATAGATTCCCCTCGCGAAACGTTTGTGGACTAATTCATCATATGATCCTGATCCTGTGAGACGGCCTTTATCCATATTAGGACATAAAAAGCTTCCATAATCTGTCTCGTACGCAAGTGCCTTTTTGCAGTTTCGTTTACGCGTTTTACTGTCTCGAAGCGACAGCACCGTCTCTATCAGAGCCTGACCAAAAATGCATATCTCAAAGCGCGAAAATCAAATTCTTCGGACTTACAATGAGTAAGAAAATGTAGAAGCGCATCAGTTTATCTGCTGCTTTACTTACGAGCCTTTTATAGGATTTGATGAACGCTTGAGTGAATTGCCTGTTTGTGTCGTACTAAAGTTGTTCTTTCGATTAACTTTTGGACTGAGGACACTTCGACTACTACAACATTGCTTTTTTGCGAATTCAATAAACTTTTGTAAATGTGTAAATGCTTTTGAACAAAACTCAGCACCTACCAATTGTATGCATAGACAATATGTCACTGCAGACGTCTTTCAGATCAAACGCACTTTCATGCTTCTCATTCTGCTGCTCCTCTTTTGAGCCTGAACTCTAGCGGTGGATTGTTTAGCTTGGCAAGATTTCATTTTTTGAGTTTGAGCCAGAATGATCCTTCCTTAAAGTTAGTCTAACGCTAATCTAATCTCTATGTTTTCATAGTAAGAAAAGTATAGTGATCATGGTTTGCAGCTAAAGATGGTTAATACGATACTCATTTATGAAGACATATGTTGGGTTGTCCCATAAGTTTTTTTTTTGAATTTCGATTTAACTGCAATAACTTGTAAGCTTCTCAGTTCTAATTAAGAAGCAAAATACCATTCGGTAGAGCAAGGCTTCCAAAATTTTTTAAACCGAAAATAATTCAACGCAAATTTGTGCCGCGATTGTCTGCTGTAAGTTAGCACATGTAAAATTTCTGTTCGCAAGCTGCTGAGAAACTTTCATAATATAAAAAGTGTAAACTTGGGACTATTTGTAGTAGAAAAAACGGAAAGCTGTCTCCGTTCTCCTGCGTTGAAAAAAGTCTTAACGCCTCTTCGAAGAAACTGAAAATTTTGTTTGCTTTCAAATTTTTTCAGTTTTCTCGAGGCAAAAAATATTTTTCTTTGTTGAGTGGTTTCTAGATTTAGCGAACACATATAGCAAAAAATGAGTTAGGATTCGCAGTTGAAGTACTTGAGGCCACGAACTTTTCAAGCGCCCTGTATGCTTGAGCTAGTGGGGAATCCTGTAAGTTCCTTCTAAAGATACAAAGTTTTTTTCCAATTTTTTGAGCACCCAGAACTTCTTAGATTTTAACTTCTAGCTCGAGGTGTGCTAAAGCTGGCGCGTACGCTTACATGCCATCTTATTAAGCTTGCTTTGGTCTATCGAGCGGTACCCTGACTCGCTAGTATCAAAAAGTTTACGACTTAATGCGGTCAAATATCAGAATTGAAAAAAAACTTATGAGGCCTAACATTATTTCCCTCTCATCTTCTTGACTTGGCTACAAATTAAAGGCTACAAATTAAACTGCAATTAACTCGTCTAAATATAAATAGTCATTATTGAGTTGCTGACTCAGCCTGACATGGTAAGGCCGTTTTTGCTGACAAATTAATGCTCAATAATGAGTTTGAAAATTGATTTTCCTGATCGTCCTTCGCAGTAAAAGTTATGAAATGGCATGGGAAATTGGGTAGGAAAGTACAGTTTCTTCTACCTCCCTGTCATGATCTCTCTTGTCAATGACTTCTCTCAAGTGGACGAATTTCAGTTAGAGATAAAGGCAGACTCATGTTCAGCTCGCTGAAAACGAGTCTGACGTTTTAACCTACCGCTCCAGGTAACATTGTCTGTCCATCCGTAACAATTCCTGCTATTCTTCACTAAAAACATGTGAGTAGGAGCGAAAAGCTGCACAAGCCGCATTTTCCACCTTTTTGTATAAACCCTTGATGAACCTTAGCGCCCGTCCGTCTTTTCTTCAAATTCATTTTTCTTTCTTCGAAGTCAACAAAAACAATCCAAAGTCGTACTGATTACTAGCCTAAGAAGCTAAGCGTGTTGCTGTAACAACCATTAATCTTTGGCACGTTTTCATCAAGTTTAAAGAAAGAAAATGTCTTCAAAGAATAGACGGTCGGCCGCTGGGGACCATCAGCGGCCATACAAAAAGGGAAAATGCGGGTTTTACAGCTTCTCGCTTCTGTTCAATATGTTCATAGTAAAGAATGGTAGGAATAGTTACAGATAGGCAAAGATGTTTAGACTTGCGGCCCACTTTAAGGTGACAAACCTGAAAACGCAGTCATTAGTTGCGTCTTGATGAGCTCATTCCAAATCTAGGCCTTTGAAAAGAAAACTTATGAGTGGTTAAACTTAGCAGAAACGTGAAGTCATTGGAACTTTAACGCTTAATATGCATGAAACTTAGTTTGAGAGTACATGACCAGCATGAAATGAGTGTAATGATTTCAAGGAATGCTCACGTTTATTGGAACACAAATTTGAACAAGTAATTCTTGAAGGGTGGCGCTGATTGCTTGCCAAATTTGGAATTTGAACGCTCGCCATTTTTTTCAGAGAACCGCAATGCACATACGAAAGGTATAATCAGCTCATCAAAACGCTTAATAGTAAGCGGTTCATTATATTTATTTGCATGATGAGTATATGCAATGAGAGATGCCCAAAACTCGCTTCAGTATAGTGTGCGTCAATGTCAAATCAATCGTCTAATGTCATAACTTCGACATATCATTTGCTCATGTCAGGAACATGCTTGACATTATTTTGGTTAGATAAACAGTGAAACTTTAGCACGTTTTTACTGAATTTGAGGAAAGGAAAATGACTTTGAAGAAAGGACCGTTGGCAGCCGGGAATCATCAGTTGATCATGCAAAAAGCTGGAAAATGTAGTTTCACACCTCCTCGCTTTTGTTCAGTATGTTAGTAAGAGTATGGTGGGAATACCTACGGATGAGTAACAGCACGGTAACAGCACGAAATTCAGAAGTTTGAAGTTTCATTAAATGAAACTTTCTTTTGAGCTGCGATCCCCACCCCTCTAAGAATGTTAATGCATGCGGCCCTTGAAGTGGCAATCCTAAAAGCGCATGTCATTAGATGCGTCTTGATGAACTCTTCCCAACTTTAGCTATTTGGAAAGAAAACTTATGAGTGGTCAAACTTAGCGGTTAGAAATGTGAAGTCATTGGGTTTTGACGCTTAATGTGTTTGAAATCCAGTTTGAGAGTACATTACTAGCCAGAAATGAGTGCAATGATTTCGAGAAATGCTCACATATCAGAAACACAAATTTGGATAAGTAATTCTTGAAGGTGTGTGTATGCTGATGTTTGCCAAATTTGGACTTCTGGACGCTCACAACTTTCTTTAGAGAACCGCAATGCACACACGAAAATGTAATCAGCTCATCAAAACGCATCTACTGGTAGCTCATTAGTATTTCCTTTGAATACATGCGTTGAGAAATGCTCACAACTCGCTTCAAAATAATGCGCCGCAGCTAGTGAGGATAATCGGAACCAGCGTTTTGAGCTAATTCTAACAGTATACGCCCCCTTTTAAAAGGCTCGTCTAATTCAGATGCTTTTCCCTTATAAGAATATAACAATCTGTCAAGAGTGTTGACACGACAAGAAAAGCATATCCATTTTACAAACAAAAGCAGCAATATTGCAAGTAAGATTTGGAGAGCAGTAGCCACACATCTGTCTCAGGGTAGCTTACTGGTCGATGCTGTACTTTGGTTATGACTAAGAAAGGTTATTGTTCATTGACATGAACCCAAAATGGCATACTACCGGCCTTGTACCACATGCCATTCAAACTTCAGGTTTAAAACAGATAGAGTTTTTGTTTTGAAGAGAAACTCAAGCTCATGAGATCGTAAGTTGGATATAGGTGTATATCACCAGAAAAGTTCCGAGCGTTGCTATCAATTTGTTACTTTTGCAACTACAGAATTATCTTGAAGAAGAAGTCAAGATCTTCAGACTTAATGGAATTTCAATGAGCATCCTGCATTAAAGGCCAGCGTGAAAGCGTACCATCAGGGTGTCAATGAGTATAATGATTGATAAAAAAAAGGAAAGGTTATGAAAGACGTTTGTCCAGCGTTCTGCCAATCTCAAACTACTTAAAACCCCACAATTCGGACTTACAAGAGTGTTTCCAAGCAATCACTTGTTATAAAGTTGGCAGGGTGCGGGACGCTTCTCACTCGAGCCATATTCTCGCGCGTAAGTGATGTGCCTGCAAGGCAACTTCAAACTCGCTATAATTGCGAGCTCCTATACCAAGACATTGCAAGTCCCGCTATCTTATCCAGCGTCGCTTCAGATGCTGAGACCGGAATTCCAAAACAAGTTTTGAAATCGAAGTTTATCTGCGAAATTGCCTCAATCAAGACCAAATTTCGCATTTGGATCCTCAAGGTTGCTCTTTCCAGTAGTAAGATTTGTTGTCGTAAAGTCAAAGTTCAGCACCGATAATGCGAAACCGAGATCAAAACACAGATTTGAAATTCGGGTTTACGGGTTTTCGAAATTACGAATAAACTATTGGAAAAATATCCGTAGCATAAGGATGTATTTGGTTGTTTCCAAAATATTGAAAATGTTTCCCTCTATTGTTTGGCACCATTTCGAGCATTTCGGTACACTGTGAATTTTTCTGGCACTGAGACAGCCTCAATGACTTCATGAACAAATGAATTTAGGAAAAAGCTAATACGGTATCGCATACGTTTCTCGCTTTAGCATTTCATTTCTAAGAAATTCGGTTTTTGCGAAACAAAATTTTTTTGTCTCCAAAAAAATGTTCAAAAAATCAAATTGCTATTGATATCGCACAAAACACACCTTGTTATCAAAAAAGCTTTCGAAAACCTGTAAATTTGAATCTGAATCCTAATTTTAATCTCGAAAAAAATAAACCTTGACTTCACAACAAACACATTTCACTACTAAAAAGAGCAACCTCGAAAATTCCTAAATACGAAATTTGGTGTTTATTGGAGCAATTTCGCCAGTGAACTTCGATTTTAAAAC